TGAATACCGATCCCTCCTAACTGAACAGCAATTTCGAATTAGAATTTTTTCACCGCGGGAGAACAAAAATCCTTACTACCATTCGACTCGATATTTTTCTATTCGCTGTTGCATTTTATACTCGATTAAATACAATTTCGTTTCAGCGTCTGACCATTGATTGTTTTCTCTACTTGTTTTACTCCATTGCGCGCCAAGCTAGGAAACGTATGGGAAAAGGTTATAGACTAAGTTGTTCCGTCGTTGGTCCCTTCGCGCGGTTCTCCGTAAAACACGAAGGTTACGATTATTAGGAGGATCGGAATCGGTACGGTGGAGTCGAGCGGATTTCCATGTTCGAAGACCAGCCACTCGAAGCACGCAAAAGCGCAGCCATCGATAGGCACGCATCCGAACGCAATCAATTTCTATCGGTAATGGCGTGGACAGAAGATTATTATCGGGCAGAGGAATGCGTCCCGGTAATAGAACGACGGGTACGGCGGGCTGGTCGAGGATATGGCGCGTAACATATGGAACCCTTCTCTCCCGAAACCGGAGAGCCAGCCCCGAACGGTTTCAGCCGACGGTAATAATGCATGCGCTGGTTGTACGCTCGTCCCACGTTAAGCCACACTCAATACCGTCAGCTGTGTGTATATCCGTCGGGGTAACGTCCTCGATCACGATGAAAGGACACCACCCGGAGTCCGGCATTATTGTCCTTTCGAACGCCGGTCACGATTTTCAGCCGCAATGGAAATCGCTTCGCGAGACGTTCGGCCTTCCCGCTTTCCGTCGCACCGGGGAAACCTTCATTATCGATCCCCAGTCTCTTTTCACGTTCCGGAATATTTTATCACGGTGCTCGAAAGGGGTTGTTGGGACCGGTCGCGTCGAAACTGACGGTCCAAGTGTTTCGAGGTGAAACGCTATACCGAATCGAACCGTTCCCCTCTTCGCGTCAGGGGAAATTCAAGGTTGGACACTGTTTGAAATTGGGGACTGTGATTTTGAGGATGCCGGTTAGGTGGATGGGTTCGCGAAAAATGAGTATGATGCAAAATGTTGAACAAGGTCTTTAATTTGTAATTATTAACACGACGTTCAAATATAATCGACTCATGAGAAATGAGCTATGCGATCTTTAAGGAAATGAAGATATTATTGATCGCCATTTCCTGCAGAGTGTGAGAGATGAGAAAAACTAGTTTTATGTGTTGGACAAGTACATAATGCCCTTGTAATTATATTAATTGCAAGGGGCCTTTGAGCGTAAGCGTTAATTAAAGAGTGTGAGTGAATTACATGAAACAAGATCAAAGAACTTGAGAACTGAGAACAAACTATAAAGCACACTTGTATGATAAAGCACTCTTGGCCACCACGAGGTTTCGACCGGCAGGCAAATGGATCGATACGCGCGCATATCAATTATGTGCAAATGCCCAAAATTGGTTTTGGGCGCATCGCGCAGTGAGCGGGGCCAGCTATCCTTCTCGAGCACAAAGCGTGCCCGAGAGGTGCTGTTGATGTAGCGTCGTGGTGACCAGAGAATGAGTTAATTCTTGAACAGACACGTTCAGAAAAATTTCGCTGACGGATCGCCGTACGCATCGACATTCGCCGTGTTTCGGCCACGAACAAATATTCGCAGGTTTACAAATGTTGCTCGTGGTCGTTGCGTATCGCACAGCCACTCTGTGCCCTTAACCTGTACCTTGACCCTCAGAAGTTGTTGCTTCTGATACGCAGAACTGAATTCTTGCGGAGACTAACTATTGACGAGGTTCCTCTGTTCGAATTAATCTGCCTTTCCGTTCTGAAGTTTCCCATAGGGAAACCTCGGTTTCTCCTGTCAAGGTGACAACGACGAACATTGTCTACCGGAGGGAGGATTGGTCAAGCCAATCCTCATCATGCCGTCCAGCGTCCAGGTAGATCATGCAGGAGTAAGCGAGAACGCTGCATTATTGTTAACTTTTGGGAAATGCCCAACGACTGCGAGACCCCGGTGGTCCGTAGCTGTGCGCCAACGCGGGTTTACGATACGTCAATCGCTATTGAGGCAAGGAAGAGCTGATCCAAGGATTCCAAGTCCCGTGTGGAATTTGGACCGTATCCTAATTTATCAAGTAAAAATGTCTTGAAGGCCTAATCCTCAAAAATAGCGGAGAAGTCGCGTCCATATCATAAACCCGCTCGCTGTACCGAGCCTGAACACTCCGCGAAGGTTCTTTTTCTTTTTAAATTAATTATTTTGCATTTATTATCATCGCGAAGAGGAAGAACAGTCGGGGTGGAAATATTATCGAGAATCAGAGGGAATCGCTTTTCTCAAAGTCTGAATAAAAAAGGTACAATCGTTCCCCGGGGGAACCACAGAAACCACTTGATTAGACTTCAGGATTTCGGTGTATCAACGTCGAAGGGAATTCTATTCTTGGTGAAGCGTCGATTTACTATCCTCGTGCTTGTTGGCCCTTTTTTGCGTCCAACGGGGAACAGTGGTGATTCAATTGCGGCGGAAGTCGCGGTCGAGTTACGTATCCGGTGCCTCCTCGATTTATTTCCTGACGCTACGAGGGTCGAGCAAAGATCGATTAGGGACGGTGATCGATGGCTCGGTTAAATATTAATTCGCCGAATTAATCGAACGTTAAATCGATACAGGAAATAACACCAACCAGTTTATCCTGCGCAATTATTTCGCCGACGTTCGTAATACGAAGTACGGATAAAAATCGAGCGACAGATTGGGCGTTAATAGTTCCTCGGAGCAGCTCGGGTATTCCCATTACAGAAGCCATAAACTAGGCAGAAGCGCGTGCGTATACTCTCGATTCGTAAATAATCGAGGCATTTCGGTTTGCCTGTTTCTCTAAATGAATCGCAGGCGACAGACGCTCGACGAAACGTCGAATTCGTGAGATAGAGCGCCGCGATCGACAGAATCGATAATCGATGGATCGTGTTGGTTAAAGTTCACTGGGTCAGTTCGTTCCGTTGAACTCTCCGAAGCGTAATCGATCGGTTACTTCCATCTAAAAACTGTCGAATCTCCTTCGAGGCAACCACTAAGGAACGGATGGATTATACCTTAAGGAGTGAATTGTCGAGGTGCTGCTAGTACCTTGTAAAACGTCTGCTACACCGGCATCTAGCTCCTTCTCCTCTCCCGTTCGTTGAAAGTTCCCGCAGGAGAAGCAATATGCCGTTGAAGAGCCTCGATGCCGCTTAGGGACGCGCTCCTCCAGAGGAAGCGAAGATCTCTTGCTGCTGTCGGATTACGCTCCAACGGACACCGGACGACGTTATCCCGAGAAATGCAGAAACTCGTCTGCTAGTCCATACAACCTTAACGAATACCCACGAATCGTCGATGCAGCGATTCGCTGACGCTTTTACTCGATCCTCGATTCCCATATCCGTCGGTGGTTAAGATTTTTATGCGATCGAAGACCGTCCGTCTGTCGTTCGTTGCGACCCATCGAACTTGCGATCTTATTTTAATCCTATCTAACGTCGTTGCAGCAACTTTGCAAGGAATGTTTCCAGTCCTTATCGACCAGTCTCGTGAGAAAGAAACTTGGTCGCTTAACTTTCTTAGGGTATTACGCGTGTCAGTAGAGTACTTAACGGTGCAACGTAACTTGCACGAAACAACGATTAATTCGTTTTACCTCGGCAGTAGCGCAAACGACTCAATTTTCACCCGAGACGTATTTGTCCAAGAATGTACGACCCTCTTAAGCGAGAGACACCGAAAATAGAACGGAGGTACATTGGAACAAGGTTGGTCGGCAAATCATGGCTGACCAAAGAGAATTCGAGAAACTCGAGGAATCCCCTACGGTCGCGCTTCTCCTTCCTCGCGTTGGTAAACTGTCGCGCGGGTAAACCTGTTATTCCTTGCTGCAAAATGTCACGGGAATAGCAAGACTGGACTACCCAGATGATTACAACGCCAATGTTTGCTTCAAAACGAATGTTATACGACAAACGTTTGTTTCCTGTCCCTTAAAACCAATCGTGGACAAATTGGGACCTTTGGGCCAAAGTTCTCGGTTATTTCAAACCCAAAGTCGAATTTTGTTCGTCTAGTCTATCCTAACATTACGTTACAGCAGCCAAGTATACTTGTCCATATTGTTACCTTTCGCAAATGTAATTTCAAGAAGAGAAAATTTAAAGGGTAGTCGATCTTTTCATTGCTTAACCACGACGTCTAAAGTTCATTTCGTATCGAAAGTCGTAGAAGTTTCATCGTTGTAGAAGACGTCTCATCAAAACGGTTCGATAAACGATATACTTTCCCAGTCAAGTAGATACATTCTGTAGTAGCCCGGCCTTCTGTTGATTGTACGCGACGCGAATTCTTTCGAAGCAAAATTCCCAGCCATGTAGAATTGATCCAATCGGTATTCCCTCGGTCAAGTCTTACTCTCAAGGAACGGTATCAGATATATATCGTATCGTGAGATCTTCGTCTGTCGTTATTGGATTTTATTCGGCAGACCGACCTTCTCTTTGTATCTAACGCTAAGATTGAATTTGCGCACAACCGGGCAAAAACAAAGTTCTCGCTCAACCAAACAGTTTGTTTTCTCCATCTACGGAAAACATCCGGACCACTGTTTCTCCTTTTTATCGATTTGCTCGATTCAAGTGACATTTGCTCGTACGTAAATAAAAAGCGACGATAATTGTTAAGTTTGGCGAAGCAAGTTGAACACGGACGATTGAGTCGAACGCGTGCCCGAATAAGTCTTCGGAGCCTGAAAAATGTATCGAAACCTTAAGTATCTACTTCCACTTTGTTACCTCCTACGAATACTCTCTTCGCTCGGAATTCCTGTGGCGCGTTGCAGAGAAACCAGGTCTCCTCGCGGTTCAATTTCCCGTAGGTTTGCAACTTTGGAGCTTTTCCAAGTTCAGTGCTAGATTCTCGAGCGTTGTTTCCAGCCACGAAATGTTTACAATTATTTTTAAAATAACGAATAGAAACTTTCTGTTCGCAGAACCAGTCACGGAGATCACGGGAGGCCCAGATCTGTTCATCAACAAAGACAGCACGATAAACTTGACCTGTTTGGTCAAATATGCCCCCGAGCCACCAACTGCGATCGTTTGGAGCCATAATCACGAGGTAATCGACCGCCGGAAACGCTATAAAAAGATACCGAAGAATACGCGAGTTCGTTTAAAACCCGACAACCTCGCGATTGTTCTTGAAATCGCGTATAAAGTAGGTCGTAGAAACACAGACAGCCAGAAGTAAAGCTTCGAACGATCGAAGAACGAGAATTCCCTTTGACGGTGTATTTGTTAAGGAAAGAAGTTTCGTGCCTTTCTCTGTCATTCTACAGGAAACGATCTAGAGAGTAGAAGGGTTAAATGCAAGCTCGTAGAAAAGGTTAGATACGTCGATAGTATTCTATTTTCCTTTCATTCTATCCGCAGTTTCGTTAGACTCCCTTTTCACTCGGAAGGATTAAGTATATTTTCTATTCGTTTCGACACGGAACGTTCTTGAAAATGGTTTGTTCTGAAAATACGGAACGAACAATCAATTTTTTCCAGTAAAACTACGTCTCGGGTAAAATATTAACGCGTCTGGCATCGATCGGTGTGCCCGTTTGGGTAAAAAACGCGAGAGGAAGGTAGCTTCGGTCCGTTGTCTGAAAACGTGTTTCAGAGGGATTTGTCCCGCGATGCATTTCGCCACTTAGAAGAGACACTTGCCGTCGCCGCTTGTCCCCTTCGCCGCAAAGTACCTTTATTCGTAGCTAGTCACGTCAGAGTCGGACAATGTGACACGCCGTCCGTCTTGTTTCTTTCGCAGGCGATTAACTTCGACTCGCCGAGGGGCGGGATCAGCCTGGTGACTGAGAAGGGACCGGTTACATCGAGCCGTTTGCTCATTCAAAAAGCGATCGAGAAAGACTCCGGTCTATACACGTGCTCGCCGAGCAACACTCATCCGAACAGCGTGCGGGTTCACATTGTTAACGGTAAAGGAAAACATACCACTGGCGCTCGTCAACCTATTTAGACGAGACACGGTTTCCCTGGGAAACCGATTCTCACGAGTGTGCTCGATTGCTCCACTACACGCCCTCCTATTTCTTTCTTTCCTCGTTTGTGCCGCGAAACGAACTCCGGATTAATCTCGCGATCGCGTTTGACACGGAATCGTTCGAGCGTGCTTGGCAATTCTGGCAATTGGCACGCGCGGAAAGACTACACCGACAAATATTTCTGTCGTTTTAAACAAAAAAATCATAAAGAACGTTCCGATACGGGCGCAATTAGTTGTGTTGTTGGTTAATGATTCACGCAAACGGACCGTGGAGAACGAGTTCCGCAAGTCGCATAATCAAAATGAAATCTTTGGTTGCGTACGAGTTGGCCCCTTTCGCACGACAACTCGAAGGAACCGAGAAACTTCACGGAAGAGTTCGTTGCGAGCGAACGCCGCGTTGCAAGCAGTTTCAGGAGTTTCCGAAATTTCATTTACGTACTACTCCGGCGTATTAGGAGACGCTGTTCGCTCGTAATTTTATGTAATTACGCAAACTAAGTGGAAATGTTGACGCGTTCACCTGCCATCAGGCGAACAGGGAATCACCTTTCTCGGGAACAGGAGAGCTTCCCGGTGAACGTCATTTTAGAATACCGTAGGGCGAAGAAAATTGAAGGGACGAGTACTCGACGCGTCGATTAAACACGACTACGAATCGTACATCCGATAACGAAACAGCACTTTTGATAAGTTCGCTTTAATTCTGTTTCATATTATCGTTAAACTTTAATAGGTCAATCGATCAAGGAGCATCGAATTTCTTTAGAGATATCTCTAAAAGTGGTAGACAAGAACCGCACCTCGTATTGTTGTAAATTTACGTTTGTTGCAGAACGTCCAGCGGCAATGCATCACGGGAGCGGTGACAGAATGTCCGCGACATTACTTACTTTCGTTCTGCTTCTTTCATCGATCATTTGATGATCACGAACGCCTGTGAACAGAGAGTAAGCTGTTCGATCGTTACGAACCCAAGTCGACGTAGTTGCTCTTCGTTCGGGAAGGTTGCGCGCATCGGAACGAATTTGTTTTGCCCAACAAACCATTATTGACGCACGTTCGTATGCCTTTTTTCATTTTTTTTATTTCTTTATTAACGTGCAGATTCGACTACTCGATAATACGAGGACGAAATTGTTGGAACGATCGCGCGAAACAAATTGGTGCAAACATTTCTTTCCAGAACGATGAACGGCAAACAACGCGCGGCGATCGTATCGAACCAACGAAACCGCGTTCATTACCGTTCGATACTCGATCGTTGAAAGCACCCCACTGGTTCGTCTGGTTTTTTTTAACGAGCGTTTTCTAACGATTAGCCACGAGCACGCAGCCTGACGTAACTCCACGATCGAGCCGGTAATCGAGTTACAACGGGATCCGGGATTTAATTAAATGAAAAACACGTTCGGAGCACTGTTGGGAGAAACGTCGCCGATGCGTTCCGATAATAAACTCGCTTCTCCCTGTCCTCGAAACTTTCGCATTGTTCCGGCGTTTCGATACGCTCGCCTCGACGAGAATAAGCGACTTCGAAGCAACTTGGTATCACGGCAAACTTGTTACATTCTGTTCCTTCTCGTTGGGAAATAGAATCAACGCGTTCCGGGAAAACGTGCTGTAGCGCGTGTCCCGCGCGGGCAATCAGTTTACGAGAAAAGAACGTAACTACGCGATACGTAACAAGTAATTGATTTATCGATCAACCTTTTCAGCGAAAACGGTGTTCCAAGGGGGGGCGAAACGATTATTTATTGACCGAATTTGCAGTTCAGTTGCAAAATATGTGAACCGAGAATACAAAGTAGGCACATATCAAACAGAACAAATTGCGAAAGTTTCGTGGCACGAGTCGAGTTGAATTACTCAAATTTCAATGAGACTTTATCGCCCTTTTGAAGAGGCATATTGAGAGAGTGAAGAATAAAAGCGACCTTGTTTTACTTCCCTTTCTAAAAGACTGATATCTCGCCAATAGCCTGTAAAACGCAGCAAACGTTGCATCCAATTTAAATTCGTTATTGTATTTCACGTTAGAAGAGGTAAACTGAAGAGAAAGAGAACCTGAGTCGATCCGCCTGCCAATTATTGTTAGTAATTCCACGTGGTTGCAACTTGAATTAATTGGAAAAGAATTAGAAACATTCAAACCCTTTCGAGCGTGTACACTCCCTCGCGCGAACGGAATCCTTTTCTACTGCAGAAAAAAAAAATGTGTTTGTTGTTCCGGATTCGGTGGACAGATATTTATAAAGGTGGCACGAAAGTACGTAGATCCTCCGTAACGCAGTGTGAAAAAGGTAAGGAGAATCACTGTAACGCGACGGGACTTTGCGGAGGAACTGTGCTCGCAAGTAAAGAACGGGTTTCCTTCTTCAAATAAAAATGTGTGTTCTTTCTGCACACCGGGCGCAGTAACGCGCGCCGCGCGTTAAGGAAAAACGCTCTTGCCGTGGATTAAGGAAAGAAACGGAGAAACAGCTCGCTCGTAAGCTGTTTCGGACTATACATTCTGATTACTACTTAACTCTGCTCCTTTCTACCGAACCGTTTAAACCGTCGTGATTACGGTAAATAGCAATTACTTTCTTCGTGTAGTTTTGTTTTACGCACAAGGTACCGTCGCTTTACTACACGTATACTCCTGCGTTCTAATCGAACAAGAAAATCCTACCTAAATAAAAAACACTTGAATATCAATCGCGGAATGGTCGATCGAGTAACAAGTTCGTGCGAGTTTTCACAACGACACGTTCATTTTTATTACAGTCACTACAATCCATCTATAAACTCAGATGTCTTTAATCGGTTCAGTTTCAAGCAATATTTGTCTCTATTAATTTAGTATTTCTATGGCAATTTAAGTACAATTAATTAATCTTTCGAGAAACGTGCCTTCGAAATTTGTTACTCTACGTAACGAACTTGTTACTCAACCTGATGATGTCTGGTAATCCATGGAATTGAAGATACGTAGTTTTAGTTTTGCACTTGCGTTTGGAAGGATGAAATTGAAAATTTTCCCGTACCTCCGTATCGCTTCTTTCAAGGCATGCTTCTTTCGCAGAAACGCAGATATAGTTATAGTGTTGCGTGTACTTCTATAACTATCATTACTTTTATACGACACATAGCAGTCGCGTTTTTGTTACACCCGAGGGACCACGAAGGTTAAGCGAAGACGGACGGTCCAATTATTCTGATTAACGAATACTGTTTGGAAAGTGAAAGACAAGTGTGATATCTACTTAGCAACGGAAGACGAAGATACCGAACAAGCGGTTCCTAAACTAAGTTTCACGAAGAAATAACAAAGTGAAAATATCAGTGAATTTCTTGCTAAATTTAAACTTCTAATAATCGATCGAATGCTCTGTTTTCTATCCAAGCTAGCCCAAAGGGTCTAAAATGATCAAAATTTGCAATAGGCATCTACAAAACTATTATGGTTCGTGTTCGTTGGATTCGTTGGAACTGGACGCGCAAAGTAACGTATAAATCTCCTTGCAGTGTTGGGTAAATTTTATTGGCATATAACTTTGCCTTCGCGTAAAGGAAGTCTTTCACTTTCGCCATAACAGCCACGACGATTAAATTGTATTCCACGTTATTCACACGTAATGCGATATCGTTAACTGTAAGCATTTTTTATAGAATCCAAAGAACGATAAGAGGGATGTCTTTTGTAGCCATGAAACATGAACGATAAGCGGTATTTAACGTTGTTAGTTGTAATCGTGAGCGACGTCAAGATTAGCCGTTACATCTTCACCGTTTAAGCAATTTTTTACGAATGTAAATAATGAAGAAACTCGGACTTTATAGCGACGATTCAGTCCTCTTCGTTGTAGCAATTCATTAAATTAAAGAGAAAGTTTACCCTGTCGAATGTTATTCCGAAGAGTAATTAAGGAAATATCAATTTACCATATCTAAACATAAATTAAATTGTGTAACGTGAATCTTCGTTTCTTTTTCTTTTCAATGTTTAGCAAGAAATAAAGTACGTACGCGACGAAGTTTCTATCCTTATCTGCGGACACGTTATCGTAGAAAACAGACAAGAAAAATACCACGCAAAGATCCTCGATCATTCTTCCTATTTCCATTTTCATGTAGTTATCGACCCTCCGTGTATAGTAATAATTATTTTTGTTGTGGAAATTCTCTTTGAAGGGTATCATACCCTGCTCGAAGGTTGTTCAAATACTTCAAAATGTAAAGGGATGAAAAGTTTTCGAAGCGATCGAGACTCGTTTCGGTTTTCATCGTAAACCATTCAATTTATAAGTTTGACAGTATTCAGCTTTAAACGGCTATGAAACAGCCCTTTCCTCTCCTCGTTTCATGTTACCGTAGACGTAGCGTTTTCAAGGAACCGTTTTAATTAATTCGCGTGTCGACTGGCGCTAATTACCGTCCTTTCGCAGCGAGACTTTTTCGCGCGTTCTTCGCTTTGTAACCATCAACCGGTCACCCTCTTCAATCTTCCGTTAGATTTCATCTACCGTTGCCGTGCACTTGAACGCTCTCATTCTCCCCTCCCACGCGCCATTTTTCTGTTTTCATTCCCAGAGTATATAATCTTTTTTCTTCGCGGTTTAATGACGCGAGAAAATGCCCTTGGCTTCTTAATATTCCAATCCTTCTTTAATTGGGTTTCAGACCAGCAAGATCACCGGATAAAAAGATGCCTACTTTTACTTATTAATGTAAAAAACAAACGCGTCCATTATGTTTTTTTTAGATAGCTAAAAAAAACACTGTCTAAGAAGTCTTAACGTTTCCAAGTGACCCGCCGAGTTTCGGAAGTTTTTAGCGTGATTGTATCCAGAAAAATGTCGCGAAAACTTTTAATTGGCTCCATTCGAACGGAGCAGACTTAGAAAATGCGCTGGTTTCTTTTAAAACGTTGGCATCTTTCGCGACAAAGGGGAGAATAATTTTTTTTTATCTCTCCAGAGACGCGCAGCGAGATTTTTGACAAATTAATTTGCAGCCTCGTTCAATTCCCGGCTAACAGTCGCGTTTAATAAACCTTGGCACTTTTGCCGGGACATCTTACGTTCTATCAAGCGACCAGCTCGATGTTTCCATTCCGTTATACACTCCCGTTAATGAATAAAATTTAATTAAAAAGTTAGAGGAATTTCCGGGCAACAAATAGAGCCGCGGCGAAAGAAGTTCTAATTGGAAGACCGACAGATTGTGTTCTATGCAATTATTTTCCGGAATTCTTTTATTTTCGCGGGGAAACCACGGGCATTCTTCGTTTAGCGGCGCATTAATTATCTCGATAAATTTTACCTCGATAAATTTCTCGTACAATGTTACAATGTTATGAAATTGAACGAAACAATCCGACCTTTTAATTTTCTTTCGTTCGCGTAGCTTTTTAAAAAGAAAAAGTTCGAGGCGTGTGCGATTAAAATCGATCGCCTGACCGAACCAGCCTAAAACCAACGCGTAGGAACGCGTGCATACAATTCTGCCATAGATAGCAGATCGAACGTCACCGCCGATTTAGCCAGTTAACGCACCGTTAATACAATGGGTCAATCAGTAGACGCATGCAAACGTCTGCTGCTATTTGTACGACCGCACACATTCCCGTTGAATGGTTGCGTCGCATATTGCGTCCCGACGCTGCATTGTGTCAGAAGTATCCTTCGACCGTTCCGATCATTACTTACCAATCACGCGGTGTTCGTCGACATTCAACCGGTCCAATTAGCGGTTAAGGGCTCGAATCTTCCCCGTTGGTGCGCACGATCGACTCCGGAATAGATCGGCGATCGAACGGATTACTTTTATTAAAGGGATCTCTTGGCTTTTCTTAACGCGACGGTGGGTGAAATTTCCTCATTATAGAATTCGATTCGACATTATCGTTGACAATTTCGAACGTTAACGACGGAGGC